GTGAAATGAAGAAATGATAATTCGCTTTAAGCAGCCAGTTTAGTTCAATTTTGTAAAAATAAATTAAGAAACATCGCTGATGAATTATTCATTTGCAAGTGAATAATTCAACCTCATTGAACCTGTATTCATGTGACCTTTAATTAACCCCTTAGCTAGAGATTGGTTACGCATTAGTAGACATGTTCAGCCATTAAAAGGAAAAGAATGTCAACATTGAAAGTGAAACAAAGGTGAACCATTTCATTGACTGATTCAATCCACAAAAAATCATTCTTATACAGGTAAAAACGATGATTAACTTATAACCTATAACATGAAATCAAACAGACCTAGAAAAATCCAATTGCACGTGGTCACTATCTATTACATTTATGTTTATGTTTATATCGGGTTATGTGACCGTCGGCAGTCTTCAGAGGTCATCTCATAGGTTAATTAGATGGTGTCAAGACTAAAATACACACAAAATGCTGATATATATTATTGAGTCCATGCATTGTTAATTGTTTATTTCAGGCTTATTGTAATTTGAATATATTTGTTATTATGTTACAAATCAAATATGAGAATCTGAGTCAAATCGGTGAACATGAATTTGACAGCAGATGCCCTTTAAGTAAACAAGTCTCTTTTCTTATATCTTTGTGTTTTTGTCCATTATGGAATTGATGGCAAATCTTTAAATATATTCACAACTTTCTCTGGGCCGTATAGAGCTTGCATATATTGTATAAAACCTTCTCTTTGGTAGAAAACGTATGACCTCTAGATGTCTTTTGGGTTTTTTTGTATTTGGGTTGCTGTCTTATTCATAAATATTAACCACACATCAACTTTAACTCAAATTATAGTATACATGAAATTTAATCCTCAAAATACAACATTTCTAACAAAAACTTAGATTTCACCCAAAAATTTCTGATGAATTACTTCCATCTAAAAATGTATCTAAATATTCTCATTTGCATCCTTAATACAAACAATATTCCAAATTTGGAATCTGATATTTTCTCCTCAAATTATCACATAAACAAGAAATGTGACAGACAGATAAAGGCTGTTTCTATATTATCATTGTGCAGGGATTAAAAGAACAAATATATCACAATAATAACTTTATTGGTTGTCATTTAACATAATTCTAAAAGAGCAACATCAGCAAGGAAGCATGTCAGCCTCTTTTGGTCCCAGCAGGATCACTAGATTTAATTAAGAATTGAATGTTTCTTTTTGTAAATTCATTGGGGTGTAAAAGCGTTGACCGAAGTACATTTTGTATGAAGCGCGGAAGCGCTTCATTCTAAAAATGTACGCACGGTCAACGCTTTAACAACCCTATGAAATTACTAAAAGAAGCATTCAATACTTATAATTACATTTTTTCGCTATGATCATGAAAAGACGATTACTATCAAGTTTTTCTTTTATTTACCTGTGCACTTTATTGTGGAAACGTGTGTCATCATGTATGTTTCAATTCATGAAATTCATTTTGAAATGAAGAATGACGCGAGATTGCTGTAAGCCAATCAAAATAACGTATAATAATGAAACATACATCTAATGTAATTATTATAAAAATAAGGTGTAGTACAATTGCCAATGAGACAGCTATCCAACAGAGTCACATTTTTAAATCCAAATTTCCGTCTTTTTATATTTGCTGTGACTTTTACCTTTGATCTTAAGACCTCAAAAATGATATTTTATTCAACACAAAAATATTCTGCATGTTTCAACCATATAACTAGGTAACTAACATTTTGTCCAATCAGTCTGTTTATGAGCTTCTTTGACCTTGCAACAATAAAATCAAAAGATGTCCTGTAAGAAGCATTATCGACCCTAATTTGGTCAATATAAAAATAAGGAGATGTGGTAGATTGCCAATGAGACAACTATCCACCAGAGTTCATGAAGTTGATGTAAGTAATCATAGGCAACTGTACGGCCTTCAACAATGAGAAAAACCCATACCGTAAAGTCAGCTTTAAAAGGCTCCGACATGAATAATGAGAAAATCAACGGCCTAATTTATAACAAAACAAATATGACAGACATAAACCAAAGACAACCATTGTGATACAAGAATAAGAAACTACAAGATCTATATAAATTGTTAAAGTCAAACATAACATTATTTATCATGTTATAACAGGAGTTTTACAAATAATATTTGACCCAGTCACAAACTTGATAAAAAGGACATGGTCAATACAACAGAACAGAGACTAGCTAATCATGTAGGTTTCTGCATTACTAAATTATATCAGTGTCATTATTGTAAGAAGAATTCTCCCTGTCTTAAACATATAGTAAATAAAACATTCAGTGAGACAAATCTGTAAGTACATGGTAATGTGGCTGTGAAATCAATGACAAAGACTTAACCTAGGTAACTTTTGTTTAACAGATGTCTGATTCCTTTACGATGCCAGTATATACTGTGAACATTTATACAATGTCACAGAGTCAAATTCTGTAAATAATGGCTCATAAATGAATAATGATTAGTGCCAAATTAGTACAAATTCGGAACATCAATGGACTTCCTCAATTTACTATAAAAATAAGTTTGTTCATTATCACTTTTAAATTAACTGATCTTGATATAATTTTGCAGAGAGATTCCCATAATCAGGACATATAGAAACTGCATGACAACAATGGCAAATGCTAAAAATGTTTTGATTTTTATGACTAAATATTGATAAAAATACAATATTTAACCAATAACAGTAAACCTAAATGACCAGAGATGAAAAAAAACAATATTGCACATATTTATTTCCCACTGAAAGTGAAATAAGCGACAATCAATCATTGTTGGGACTTGAGTAGGTCAAATTTGTCTGATTTTAGTCAGAATCAACTGTTGTTAACAAAAATAACGATACTTTACTCAAATGAATTCTCAGTTGCTTCATTTTGATTTCTCAATATAATGTTTATAACTTCACTGGTATTCCTAATGCAGAGATTAAAATTAATTGTACTAAATGACAGTAAACGTCATTTCAAAGCAATATGTCAAAGGTTGTAATCATGAAAGATTAAATAAGGAGATGATGTGTGGGTATATTTCAAGGAGACAGCATCCAAACAACACAAAAAAAAAACAATGACATCAAGAGGTATCCTTTACTCTGATTGAAAGATCTGGGATTGGTAACTTAATTATTTGTTTGTTATATGAATATTTTTTTAAATATCATATTCATTGCCTGTATATGTCCCTTGGGGACCTAATTTGGAAATAAAATATATTGTATTTTATTATCATGATTATAGTGATAAGATAATGATGACATGCCCATACTACAAGAAGATTACAACAATCATGACAAATTAAATCATGGAATAAACCCTATTTTGATAACAAAATGACAGAAAAACCCATAATATTAAATATATATATATATATAAGGTTATATCACTCCATGAAAAAGATTATGAGAAAAACATGATATTGAACAATAACATATAATAGTTTCCATTTATTTACAGGAAAACTATAATTTTCTTCACCACATTTACTAGGCTTTAACAATAATCAGTCATGTTATTACAAAATAATGTCAAGTAATTGACTTCTGTGAACAAAAACAAGTCGGTTATTGATTTTGGTTGCCAACTCTTAGAGGCTAACAGTACAGTTTGATATCGAAATTACAATTATCAGGAAGGATAGTCAGATTAAAAACTAATTCAACATGCATTTAAACCTGTTCTAAGATCGTCCAACCCTGATGCATATTTGTAAGACAAAATTTCAAAAATATAAACACAAGGTAGTAAAGGTCTTGTGAACATTTGGAAAGATGCAAAATGTAAATTATAGTTACTTATACTAGTTCCCTTAAATTTTCTTTAAAATTACATACTGTCAATTCAGAAATTATTGTGAGGTTTTTATTAATGGGAATATGCGATTGGGTGATAATTGCAATAATAAGAACTCGCATTCTGATACCTGAAATCACAAAAATTAATCTCGCATTTTTGTCCACTATTCAAAACTCACAATAATAAATGCATGCAATTATTTCTGAATTTACAACTACACTTATTATCTTGTTTAGGGTGTTTCTGTGATACATGACTGGTTTTGCTATAAAGAATTTCATTTAACCTGGAAAATAAGACACTTGGTAATCTTGTGGCAGAGTGCTAGTCTCAAGTGCAGGACATTATTGACTTGATCTTTGACTGGATTATGTAATATTTCCTGCTGTACTTTAAGAAATAATCTATACATTCATCCAATTATAACACTTCACACATTTCCTTATTTAGAATATTATCTTTTATGAAATTAAAAGTTTTACATATTAGTTTGTGAATTTCAGTTAAAATCATTACCAAGCATCTGGGATCAAAGATGATCGATTAACTATTTATTATGGGTCATATAATAAAATTGAGAATGGAAATGGGGAATGTGTCAAAGAGACAACAACCCGACCAAAGAGCAGAAAACAGCCAAAGGCCACCAATGGGTCTTCAACACAGCGAGAAAATCCTGCACCCGGAGGCAGGCTTCAGCTGGCCCCTAAACAAAAATGTGTACTAGTTCAATGAAAATGGACGTCACACTAAACTCCAAAACATATAAATGAACTAAAATTAAAAAACATACAAGACTAACAAAGGCCAGAGGCTCCTGACTTGGGACAGGCACAAAAATGTAAAGATGTATATCAATTGCAATCTGCACTGTTTTTAAACAATCATTCAATATGTCAAGGTAGTCGTTTTAACAGAATTTCAAATCTTGTAATATAAAGTTTGTGTCCTAAATATGTTTTTATTCTTCTTTTGAACACAAGCTCTAGTTATCATAATTTACATGTTCTGGTTAACAAAAATCCATGTACTTCAAATAGCTATATGATCTACATATTTTTTCTAATTTACCATCAACAGAATCTTGTATATTGGACACTACTTTATTTAATCTGTAATTATATATACATATGAAAGAAAATTTGAATTACCATCTTTGTTATGTCTTTTCTTTTTAGGGTTTGTCTTTTTCATGTACCTTCCTTTCTCAGAGTAGGTTTTACCAGTACTTGAAGCCTTCTTTTTTGGATTACCTGTAAAGAGAAAAAAAATCAAAAGGTTGAAACTTTAAATGGCATTATTTGTCAAAATCATGTTCACCCATTTGAGGGTATTTTAAAATGTATTCAAATTACAATATGCTCCATGGGGCACAGCTTGATACGACCGCAGAGGTTGAACCCTGAACAGTTGGGGCAAAAATGCGCTACATTCAAGCTTGATACAGCTCTGAATTTGGATTGTGATTAAATATTTGACACAGCATAGGTTTCTGACACAGAATGAATGTGGTCAAAGAACTAAAAATTTGAAATTGGACTTTTACCTGTAATGGTCCAATATCCAAAATATAAATACACGATTAGATTCAGCACATCCAAGTACACCAAGAGTTTAATTAATTTATTTATAAATGGACAATATTAGCTAAGTTTTTAAAGGGTTACATTCATCAAAAAAATATATATATATATGTATATATATCTGAAAATTAATTTATACAGCATAACAAACAAACCCACCCCAAGTTCTTCAAAAAATTTACCAAAAAAATGAAAAAAAAATAATATATATACATGTATAACATTCAGAAAATTAGTTTATACAGAATAACAAACAAACCTACCACAAAATTCTTCAAAAAATTTAAAAAATAATTTCCAAAATATCATTCATCATTAATACAATGTTTTAAAAAATCTATAAAACTTACCTTTAATTATTTTTCAAAATATCTAATAGTGAATAGTAAATTTCAAACTATATTTATACATATTTTTTTCTCTAAAATTATAATCTGATGCTGTGTCTATTTTTAAGTATGAATCTACAAACAATTTCTATTAATTGTGCAATACAGCTGTGAATTTAGATTGTGATTAAATATTTGACATAGCATAGGTTTCTGACACAGAATGGATGTGGTCTAAGAACTTAAGAATTTCAAATTGCACATTTACCTATTATGGTCCAATATCTAAAATCTAAATACATGGTTAGATTGAGCATATCAAAGAACCCCAAGAATTCAATTTTTGATGAAATCTAACAAAGTTTTATTTTCGACCCTTTGGGCCTTAATGTGGACCAATTTAAAAAATGAGGCCCAAATTCTCATATCTAAATACATGGTTAGACTCAGCATATAAAAGAACCCCAAGAATTCATGACTTTGAATCAAACCCCATTGAAATTGATCAAGAAATAAGCAATTTATATAAAGTACTAGAAAAGTATTATTTTTGTCCCATTGTTTGCCCCTTTTTGGTTCCTAATTCCTAAAAGGTCAGGGCCATAACCCCTAAAATCAACCCCAACCTTCCTTTTTTTGGTATGGAACCTTGTGGTACAATTTCATAGATATACATAGACTTATATTCAAGTTAGTAGATATAAGAAGATGTGGTATGAGTGCCAATGAGACAACTCTCCATCCAAGTCAAAATTTATAAAAGTAAACCATTATAGGTCACAGTACGGTCTAGTGTCCAGAAACGAGAAAATCCTAGTTTTTGGCCCCTAATTCCTAAACAGTATGGGCCATAACCCTAAAAATATATCCCAATCTTCCTTTTGAGATAAGGAACCTTGTGGTACAATTTCATAGAGATCCATACACTTTTACACAAGATATTGTCTGACAACGACAAAGTCATACCATTATACGACCGCATAAATTTTCTGGTCATATCAAAAATCCATAAGAATCATTTTAATAAGACCAAATAATAAAACCTTGTTTGGATGCTGATCTATCAAGTCTATACAATAAAGTTGACATGTCATCCTATGCATATATACATGTCATACTTTAAAGTAAATTTAAACCTGAGCTACATGTATTGGAGCATAAAAATCATATCATATTTGCTTAAACTTTTTGTACTCAAACTAAGATAAATCTATGCACACGTTTAGAATAACCTACAACTTACAGAAACTGATTAGTGAACTTTTGTGGTACATTTTAGCTTACCTCATAGTCAATTTTTTATTCATTTTAGTGAAAAAAATGGTTTAAAAAATATGAAACTAGGACATAGACAGGCATTCCAGGCATAAATGGATGTAATACTTCAATACTCATGTAAGCGGAGAACATGATTCTCATTACAAAATCACCTTGCCTCCTCCAGAACAAGAACCCAGTGTAACAATCAGTGCTCTAACTGACTGAGCTAAATAAGCACTTCCCTAGTTCAACAGCTTACCATGCCTACGGCTGGCTACGTATCTACTATTCAAGGGAAGCAATCCTGTCACATTTAACCTCAATTATAATATTTTGAAAAAAGTCAATCCTTTTTGTAGATCATGTAGATATGTAAAAGAGTGAAAACTGACATAAATACACATGTAGGTCCTTACCATGATACATCCAATGGTTTTCAAGGCTATGAATCATTACCAGGTGCTGTTAATTGTGTGTTTTGGCATTACTCTTTTTTGGTCATTTCTTAACTGCATTTTCTCTATACATTTTATATAAAGCAATCTGTTTTCATGAAAATTTTAAACTTAGACTTTCAAACAAGTATTTGAAACTGAGAGCCACTGGACAATAAATAAAAGCATGCAACAATTACTGTGACTTGACTGAAAGTGTTGCTCTCCACCTACATATTGTATTGCACTTTATTCAAAATTCTAATCTATATATCAAGGTACATGTAGATGTCAATTTGTTAGTTAGAAGCATGCAGCTTTTCAGATTTTTTAGTGCATTGTCGAGAGTTTGCAGAAAAATTCATTAAGACTAACTCTAAATTAGTATGCAACTGTAACTAAGGACAAACATAATATGAAATATATTCTTGTATTTCAAATATTGCAAACACAGTTTAAAGAGATGAACATTAAAGGTGTAAATGAAACTATAATACATGTATTAGCAGGGTACTTACAGATGATATTCAAACAGTATACTAAATCCTAATGTATACAGTAAACAGGCTTATTGCAATTGATAATTCTTTTACAGATTCTCTTATTTCAACCATACACATAGATATCGTTGATACCGAAATGTCATAAATCTTTTATGGACAATAATGAATGCAAATTGATAAGGGGACGAAGTCCCCTATTACAGTAGAAAAATCAATAAAAAAAAAAAAAAATTAAAAAAATCAGGAAAATTTCCCGAAATTTTCATTGTACTAATGAACTCAAAATCGTTAACTTTTTTTTTGTAACTTTTTTTAATTCCCGCATTTGCGCAGAAATCTACTTCCTTCTTCCGGTCTCGTTTGTCATGAGACTTTGAGTGAAATATATATTTATCAGTCCAGTAAAATATAGGAAGGAACACAATAACTATTTCATTTCTAATTATTCTTTGATATGAAAAAACGTAACATGATGATAGCGTTTCTTTGTTTACATTGAATATGACGTCATAACTAAAATAACGTCACAACTAAAATCCCTAACAACAGAACCAAAATCGGAAACGTTACGGTATTTCCGTTTCTTTTTTAACAGATTTAGAACTTAAAATATGTTTAAATTAAAAAAAAATAATTTATATAGACTTCCTCCCCTTTCACAGGGAATGCCTGCCTCATATTAATGATATGCTGACAATTAAAAAAAATCTACCTCTCACAATATTTGCAGATTTTAAACTAGCCATCATGGGTCAAAATTAGTGTTTGCATCACACCTCAGAGTCCTACATGTATATATTAAAATGTGATTGTTTAGCTACGATAATTATGGGCACCTTGGTTTAATAAACTTGTTTCTTAATCTTATTACTTGAATTCCAGTACAATAAAACCTACCTTAAAACACTAAAACTGAATCTATTTGCATAAAACACTGTTTCCAAGCATACTTAATGAAATCTCAAGAGATACAGATCAGAGACATATTTATCTTGTCTATATACTATACTATAGTAATTACACGTTGCTAGACCCGGAATAACTTTATTGCCTTCTTTTAGGTTATTTCTCAAATTCTGGGTTAATTATTTAAATTTTGTCTATATTTTTTACAAAACTGAAATTGCAAATACCTTTTCCTACGTCGTCGTCTTCGTTGAAAAGCTCTAAACTTCTTTTTAAAATAGAAGAACTCATACTTTCCAATTTTTCTGGTTTTGTGTTTTATATTTCTGTACTTTGGACGCTTGGAACAAAATATTCCTTACTTCAAACGTTTTGTAGATACTGTCTTTGGCGTTGAGGCTATTACTAATACTTTGACCATTCCGTTCTCAGAGTATTTATTGTCTTATAGAATTCTCAGTGTTATTAATAAAGTCGAACAAATCATATAAAACAAATATAGATAATTCCAATGCTAAAACTTTTAGTTTCGAGATTAAACAATAAATAATTTTGGGGAGGCAACTCTGTTCAAACCGCATGAGATTTTTGTTGTAAACACCTTTTTGTATGTTTTCGCTATTTTTCTACACTTAATTCACCATTTAAATTTTCTGTATATCAAAAATTATCACTTTTGTGATATAAATTGTAAAACTGCGATCTTCAACTAACTAAACACGAAAAACCAAACCCAACCTCCTAAAAAGTACTCTAGCTTCTTCTTTTTCTTCTTTCTCTTCTTTCAGTTTCCGCACTCAATCATAATATTGATGACTATGTGCCGTCATCCCCAACAGTTCAACAGCACTGCTGGTAACGTCATATATACATTATTTTGCCCAACTCGACTGTCTCCGCCCTGAGTCCTGAATCCTTCAAGGCTCAGCTCCGTCATTAGATTAAATGCCATGTTTTTAATTGCACCTGTATATATATTAAATTGCACCCATTCTATTTTTGTTTAATAAATTTCAAAAATATTTCATGCGCTCACTCCAAAATGTGGCAGAATAGTCAACCAGTTGACGGTGGCCGCTTACCGGAAGAAGAGAAGAAGAAGAATTAAACAAACAAGCTTTCAATCAACATTCAGAACTGCAGATTGAAATGTTACTTATCTTTTGCATGCTTTAATATGAAAATATGTCGCATAGTTGTTAAATAATATAATGACTAATAATGTGAAAATCCATGGATGATATACCAGCGGGATTCGAAACCCTCAATCTCAGGATCTAAAGGCAGCGCTTTAACCAATTGAGCCAAAGTAGATCTTCCCCAAATCAAAAAGTTAGACTACCTTTATCATGTTTATATCTCCAGGTCTACAACAATAAGGAAGGTGATTTTTGTTCTCTGAGCACCTGAGATCACCCCCAGTTGTTTGTTGGGATTCGTGTTGGTCAGTCTTTAGTTTTCTATGTTGTGTTTTATGTACTGTTGTTTGTCTGTTGGTTTTTTTAAGCCATGGCGTTTTCAGTTTATTTTTGACTTATGAGTTTGAAATCAATGTCCCTTTGGTATGTTTAGCCTCTCTTTTTGTTAATGAATATTTTCATGAAAATTTACAGTAATAAAATTTACAAATTGCAGGAAATTGCATGCTCCATTATCATGATTATGATCTGAATATTGGGTAGTGGTTGTTAAAAGTACAACTTGATAAAATTTGGTTCAGTTTTGCATTGAAAGGTCTGACATGACAATGATTAAAGCAACATGGCAGCCTCCATCATTAGGGATACTGTGCATGTGTCAAAGACAAGATAACTGAATTGAAAGATTTTTTATTCACTATTATATTGATTTTCATATTGAGTTTTCTACTTGTTAATTTTTCTATTGTTATGTGGACTCTCATTCATTCTTTTGTACATGAATTAGGCCATTAGTTTTCTCGTTTGAATTGTTTTAAATTTGTCATTTTTGGGGCTTTTAATAGCTGACCATGCGGTATGGGTTTTGCTCATTGTTGAAGGCCGTACGGTGACCTATATTTGTTTATTTCTGTGTCATTTGGTCCCTTGTGGAGAGTTGTCTCATTTGCAATTATACCACATCTTATTTTGATATTGTTTCTCTATTAAATGATATGGTTCAAAGTAGGTCAAAGAGCTACTCTCTGACAAATGCAAGCAGCTGTATGTTTTGAGAATTAAACTCTCATGAACATTATTATCAACAATTATGTTGGATTTTTTTTTTAACCCTGATCTGTAATTTATCCCAGAAAAAGCCCAATTTTAGCAGGTTGAGAATAAATCGTAGAAAGAAAATGCATAAAGAAAATAATTATCAAATCAACAAACCATTTGAAAAACTGTCTGATTACATAGTCACTATTTGAATGAGTAAAATGGACTATTTAAATTGCATCAAAAGAGTACAGAGAGTTCACATGTTATGCATGAGTATATAGCCAATAATAATTGCATATTTTGTTATTGCAAATAAACACAAAATGTTAATGAACAATATAAAATTGAGAATGGAAATGGGGAATATGTCAAAGAGACAACAACCCGACCAAAGAGCAGACAACAGCCGAAGGCCACCAATGGGTCTTCAATGCAGCGAGAAAATCCAGCACCCGGAGGTGGTCCTCAGCTGGCCCCTAAATAAAATTGTGTGCTAGTTCAGTGAAAAAGGACGTCACACTAAACTCCAAAACATATAAATGAACTAAAATTAAAAGACATACAAGACTAACAAAGGCCAGAGGCTCCTGACTTGGGACAGGCACAAAAATGCGGCGGGGTTAAACCTGTTTTGTGAGATCTCAACCCTCCCCCTATACCTCTAGTCAATGTAGAAAAAAGAAACACATAGCAATACGCACAGTAAAACTCTGTTTAAAAGAAGTCAGAGTCCGATGTCAGAATAGGTAACAAAAGAAACTAAGCAAAATGACAATGATACATGAATGAACAAAGGACTACTAGCAGTTACTGACATGCCAGCTCCAAACCTCAATTAAACTGATTGAAAGATTATGTCTTCATCATATGAAAATCAAGTACAATCCCTACCGTTAGGGGTTTGGTATCATACCATCATAAAATATATGAGAAGAACATAACGCGTATCATGCCTTTAACTGGTTTTAGAATAAATGTGTTTATTTCCGATGCAAAGACCCTATGAGTGAATCAATATTAATACCAAAATATGCAATCCTTAATGACTTGACAACAATATCGTAACTATATCCTTTTCGAATAAGTCTGTTTAAAGGTTTGGTTAGCTTTTGAGGTGAATGCCGACATTTTTGTGCTTTGTAAAGAATATTACCATAAAATATTGGATGTGAAATACCTGAACGTATAAGATGTCTGCATGTTGATTTATATTTACGAATGATGTCCTTGTACCGATGATAAAATTTAGTAAATGTTTTGACTAGTTTGTGATATCGAAAACCCTGGTGTAATAATTTTTCAGTAATACAGAGATTTCTTTCTTTGAAATCAAATACGTTGTTACATACACGAGCTAATCGAACAAGTTGAGATATATATACACCATAAGATGGCGACAAGGGAACGTCACCATCTTAAAATGGATAATTAACAATAGGAAATGAAAAATCATCTCTTTTATCATAAATTTTGGTATTAAGTTTCCAGTTAAAGATAAAGATATCAAGATCCAATAACAATTATTATTTAATTAATCAATTAATAAAATACATTTTTCAATGTTTGATTAAGAAGGTACATTTCTAATTGTACAATTGTACTGGTAGAATGTCAAGTCAATGAAAAAAATCAAAACAAAATTAGACTGTAAATAAGTGGTTGGAAATAATTCTGATTTGTTTTACCCTTGTACACAATTTAATATCATAAGGATCATCAACTGAAAGATCATGCATCATGATCTTTCAGTTGATGATTGTTGTATTGTTTGGGGTGGTTTTGCTAAATATTAGCTAGTAAGAATTCTAAAAATTGCATAAAAGAAAGGCCAATATTAATGCTGACAAACTCTCAGTTATGTGTTTTAGACCTCAACACTCCAACTTTTATAATCTTGATCAGTGGAATAACAAAAGGCCTTGATTTTAGATTGACACTGAGATGTATTTATACATGTAACATGTTAGCTTACATTAATAGTCCTGTCAAAGACATTTCAACCAAACTGAATTATACATTATGTTGACAGCAAGACAACTAATGTATGCTTACTATGAATTCTTCTTTTTTATCAAAATGCCATTTTTATCCTTTAAAATTTGTTAGGGTTTAACATGGTATGAACCCAGAAATGCCTGCATTTAAGGCAAGCACACATAAACAAGACCATTATGTGCAGGTTACAATAATATCCAAAGATAAATTTTGTCCTTGCTAAGTCCAAAAGCACTCATTTTATCCAGTAAGACATTAATTTTGGTCAGTGTTCTCCCCAGGATTTTTGGGTTGCATTGTGGTAATCACACAATATTATATTGATACACCTTTCAAATTTGCAACTTGATGTAACTTTTGTGATGCCATCTTTGCCATCATGAAATAGACAAAGCCTGCATTTTTATACATATGCATTAACAGAAATGGAAAGTAACATTTTCATTTTATTTAGGCCAAAAAAAAATATATATATGTCTGTTTAAGGTTACATCATAAAAAAAAAATAGGGTATATTAATAACTTGAAGATTGAACTGATTTGACAATATTGTTTTTATTACATTTTTTTTCAACACTTTTTGATATATCACAATTATTATTTTATATCTGAAAGTAATAATTGTTCTGACATTTAGTTGCAATTAATTTTACATTACTCTAACACGGTAAGATAAACTGCAAACTTTTATATTAGCATTTGTTTTAACATCAGGAAAGCAGACGCTGAACATTTGATGAAGATACACTGTAGTTTTTCTAGCAAAATATTACATGAATCTTTATAAATATATATAAAGTACTTTTATAACTCTCATTACAATGTTAAAAGTACATTCCAAATCATAAACCGGTAGATTATTAACAAGTTTCTCGTTTTCTATGTTTCAGATACATAGAAGAATGTCTGGTGAACTTCCACAGAGTCAAGCTGCTAACAATGCTGTAATTGCAGGTTCTCCCATAGGACAACACAAATTCCTTATACCTAGTCCTATACCAACTCGACGAACAAGGACATATTCACAGTACGTATGATAGTCTACAAGGTTGTAAAAATACTTTCAATATGAATTTACTTGTTTCTATAAACTTGTCCTGAACAATATTTAAAATGAACTAATTTTACTTATTAAATACTAGTGTAATTGCACTACAGAAGCAAGTAATTTTCATATAAAATATTGTAATAAGGCTTTCTAA